CCGGGCGTTTCGTCGCATTCGTGCACGAACAGTAACTGACGGCTTCGTCATCCGAGCGATCAGTACGGCACCTGAGCGCGCGTGCACTCCAGCGGACCGACTCCTTGGCCGACCAATCGGAACGCGATACCAACGGCCGCGCGCCTGCGCGGACTTATGGTGAACGGCGGCACCGTTTGAACGGTTTGATTTTCAGACACTTCTGTTCGGTCGTATTGCGTGGCTCTGTTTTTTGGGGGGATCTCGCTTTTTTCATTATCGAGACGCGCATTCGGGTGTAAAGGGACGATTGGAGTTTCGGGACACGGTGCATGATACTTCGACGAGTGTTGCGATGCCTGTAAAGCGCGATGTATATTGTAAAGGAGTAAATTGATAATGGAGTTTGTGGTATTGATGTTTACGTTTCTATTTGAGAATTTGGATATTTATTGTGGAAACGAATATTGAAGCATAAGTGTCTGGGAGAAATAATTAAGAATCTATATATTTGTTTGAAGGGCTTATGCGAATAATATTTATGCGTGTAACCGAATGAAGATAATAAACGAACAGTTACAAAACGAAAGGTTGTGATGCATTTTATTTTTTTTCTTCCTTACGTTTAGATTGTCGTGAGCGATGAAATATTATCGAGTAGACGTGTGTCTGATAAGAGTATCTGCAGTGCTGATCATTTGCAGCACGTCCATTTTTCTTGTGTATTTTGAAAATTTTATACTCGTCGAAGAACTGTAGTTTTCTTGGTAGCCATTGGTTCCTAAAGTGTCGGTAATGTCATTCTTCTCTCGGTAGGGGGAAATTTATGGCATGCATTATGTTGTAAAACGTATGTTAATTTACGTTAGAAGTTGAGACCTTTCAGATAGCGTTCATGAAATGGTTGCATGTGTGTAGTTTCATGGTTCCTTGACACGCATTCGTATCTTCAGAATTGTCTACGCTTCGCTGCTAGATGGCACCTGTTGTTTCATTCGTGTGGTGAACCCATGAACTACGCGCGCGTGTCATAGATTTAAGATGCAGGCAGATCGGTTGTTGCGTATAATGCAATTTTCTGTTTACTATTGTGAAATACCTAACAGAGTGGAAAACGACGACATTTGGTTTATTTATACATACTCTATTTGAATAGATAAACTTATGTTATTGAAGTATTTATATTTATATTATTCTGAAACAGGTATAACGTTGTCGTACTTGGAGCAAAACGGAGCAAGAAAGAAGAAGAGTTAGAAAATCTTGGGTGTTTGAAGTTTAGAGTACTGTAAAAATTACTTAGAGGCTGGTAAGTTCTCTTTCTAGCTTACGTGTGCGAAAGATGCTATCACAGAAAGAAGTGACGAAGTTCCGAGTTGGAAAAGGATTGAGTTATAAACCATTGCATTTGTACAATGCTTTTTTCATACTTCCAAAGCAATTCTTTGATTAATGTTTGCAGTGATCTTATCTTCCTCTCCATTAAAAATATTCCTAAAAATGAATTGCTGTACAAGCGACAAGATTCCATACCAATACATGGATGGAGTTCAATTTATTAAATTAAAACCAGAGTGCAACGTCGAAAATATTGAAAAAACCCGTGACTATGAAATATTCTTGCCCGAGAAAAATATAGAAAGTAAATTTTGAACTTCAATTTTAATTGTCAACTTAAAATCGTGCACATTTATTTTATGAATATATTCTAAGATAAAAATTCAGTCTTCACCTGTTATGCTTTAATTCCACAAAATGTAAAAAAATTGTACAGGAAAAAAGAATTAGAAAATTATAAGTAGAATAGTGATTTCAAACTGTTCTTTTACATAATAATGTATAATATAAATATTCCATAAAATGTGTAACTAATTTACGAAACGACGAGATTACTTAATTATGGATAATTTATCGAAACTATGAAGAATGTTTACGTTTCAATAGAATTTAAGCATCCCAAACATCAATTACCATATCGTTTACGAAGTTTCTTTAATGGAAAGAATCAAAATTCTGAGCACGAGTATCTACTTCCGTTTCGTCTTGTCCTCCTGATCAAGACCTCTCGTTCGAAATGCATTCAAGCCAAAAGTAAACTACGGTTCGCGGAAAAGATGATGAGAATTTTCGGTAAGACATGTAATTTACTTAAACAGGAAAACGTTGTTGTTGGTTATTCTTCTCGATTGCATCTCTGTATTAAGAAATCAAGATTACAATCAGTCTTCGATACGGTCAATTGTGTTGCATAACAGCATGACGTGAGATGTTTGTTAATCGTCAAATAATGCGTCGATTGCAATGTATCCTAAAATTGACGCAGTTGTTCACAGTGAATTGGGCGAGGCATTGTCGAGAACGTAACAACAAAATCATTTCCTTTGAAGCCTTCTTTCCTTTTTTATAAGTAAAGATTACCAAATGCAATATTATGATGCTTAACGCTAGAGCAGCTGAGTATTTAATACGATTAATATGTAATTCGTATAAAAATTGTAACAATAGATTTTTTCGGTTTCTTCATGTATTGATTCATTTCGGATATTTAACGATTTTAAGATATCATTAATTGCGGAATGAGAAAACTGAAGTTTAAAGATTAGTGCAGTTTAAAATAAATGAAGTGCGCCTTAATCTAATAAATATATTATTGAAAATGACAAGTCTAATTCTGTCAATGTTAAATTCTAACAGTTCACAATGTTCACATAGGATACTTGTAAACATAAATACAGCGAAGAAAAGATGAAATAAGTATTATAATTTCACAAATGAATTTTTCCAACGTACGTTTACTTGTGTTTTGATTGTAAAAGACATACTATAATTATAATTGGTTTATACAATTATAGCAAAGCTAAACGAACTATGAAATCACAACTATCAAACATCTTATGAAAGGTATAACACTGATTTATACGACGAAAAATTGTTCCCTTGTGGTCAGTCCATGAATTCAGTATCGAAAGATAGGTCATTGAATGCCAACAGTGAATATCGTAATGTACTGCACGTTGCAAATCGTCCAATGTTGCTTAATAATTCCAGTATAGCTGACGTAACGAAGGAGGCCACGGGCGCGACGAACGTTGCAGTCTGTAATGCATGCAAAGACAATTGTAAAATCGAAGAAAGTAACAATGAAACGGAATCGACGATGAAGTGTAACTGTCAGGGAAATGTTATTGCTATTTTCGTATGGTAACTTTGAATTCGATAAATATCAACTATTTCAATACAGTCAATGAATGTCAATGCGATTATTTCTGTAAGCGAAAAAATAGAATTCAAAAAGACAAAAGCTAAATCAACATGAATTCTTTTATTATAGTTATGGAATTGTCATTATTGGACTGCGATTTTACTGTCCTCTTTTTATATCAAACACTTATTTCCTGTAATGATAGCATTCGCATCAACTTTCCTTTTTCCTGTAGAAATTCGTCCGATATACCATACGAAACGTTAAATAAACGCGTTCCGTTAAATTACGACGTGCACGAGCAAATTTTCGGCGCATAAGGGCAGCCTTGGGAGCGCACCGAGACTCGTATAATAATAAATGTTTTTCGGGCTGTGCATTTTGTAGTGCGCTGTCTGCGCAGTTCCTCGAATCGGTTTTAAATAGAGTAGCTACTGATGCGAGGAAACGATAAAATCTGTTTGAAGCTCGCGATAACGAAGGTCTAGGTCTGCGTTTGCTGCCGAAGGAACATGGTTTCCGTGGGAATCACGGTTGAAACATGTCCGATGGAATTGCCCGGGCATTGTTATTTCGTTTACACAGAATCAACGGTTCCGCTTGACGATCGAGAACGTACAGGAAGTCGGAGCGCTTCTACCCGCGAGCACGTGTACCACCACTTCGTCGAAACAGTTCGAAAAACTAACTAAATATAGATTACGAGCGGCGCTATTGTTAGGTTGCCTGCGTTTTCGTGGGCTACGTCTTTCGTTCAATGTTGTCTTCGTAAAATCGTCACGGGGCCAGTCGCGAATTTATGGGATCACGAGGGTACGCCATTCACTCGGTATCCAAACCGAAGATCGCGGAACGCGGTCGTTCAAATATACAGGGTGTCCCATTTATCTCGGCCATCCACAACATTTCTTAATATGTTTGACGCATAGAAACATATCAAATAAAATCTGTACAAGAGAACATTGATTTATAAAAGAGTCACATCATGTTTTTATTCATTGAAAACGTCCAATTCAAACTTTTTTATTCCGAATTATAATAATTTCATTATTACAGTCATCAGCGTTCGAAACATATTTATATCAGTACCTTAAACTACAAAATATCAAGAGAAGATAAAAGTTTCATTATAATCCAAGACATCTCTGCGCGAACACCTATATTCCACGACCCACGGAGGTAATACTCATCGAGCATTGAATATTTTCAAAACACCATCGGGAGATCGACTCTCACACGGAATTCCATTTCGTTATTTCCACAAAATACTTTTGCAACTCGAACCACTCCAGTTTCTAATAATTCCGAACGTTTAATTTCAGAATCGTGCGCGTTACCGGAAAAAGATAATAGCCGTGGATTCACCGGAAGACCGCCGAGTTTTCGGAAGTTTGTTCGAACGAAAGCCGAATCGATTTCCTAGATCGCGGGAAGCGACGCGACGCGACACGGAAACGTGGATCGCGCCGGCGCGAGGCTGCCCGAGCGAAGGCTTCGCCGTTCTCGCGCACGCGGTCTTTCGAAACGGTATTTTTAGAGAAGTGAGTCGCTGGCCGCAAGCGGCGACGGTAGTCAAGTGTCGTTGTTGACCCGAACGAAACCGAGCCCTGTGAAAACCTGACGATTCGGATGACCACCGGCATCCGGTGAGTACCAGCGATTCCGGGACACCGAATGGAACGTCACCGGAAACGTCACTGGACATCACCCGCGTCACCTGTACTTACCGATCGCACTCTTCTTCTCGCGACACCCGTCGATCCTCGTGTTACCTATTCCCCGTGACACCGTACTGATGGTTACACGATTCGACGTCGTGACGAATTATTCCGTCCTCTGCGGAGAAACACACGGTTATCTGGCTGCTCATATGGAACTAAATTTGGACCGCGGGCTCAAGTGCTCGGTACACCTATTTATGATGTATTTATGGCATCAGGCTGGTTTGTTTCGCTTGGTGAACCGTCGCTGAAGCCTTATCCGCTCGCTGCTGACTTTGAACGTTTGATTTTGGTAAACTGGCTGACGACGTGCCTCGATGATCTTCTTCTTGTAAACTTTGTACCGCGGCTGCAGTAGTTGCTAGCTGTGCGGACAGCTCCATTACTAAGCGTGGATTAATGACTCTAGTTGTAAATTGTCTAGTTATGTGTTTCTTGGCTGCGCTAATGTAGAGCTGCAAGTGGATAACTTGTAATCTGTTTGATGTATAAAAGTAATTGAATGTTGTAGTAGTTTGTTCTCCTAGAATGTTACTTAGCGGAGAGTAATTGAAACTGCGGATGGTAGTTAGAGATTGAACGCGAGTGTTTGGATTCGTAGATTAATTGTTGTCCATTGCCCGAGTGAATTTATATAACGCTGAAAGGCCTGCCGAGCGCATTCGCTTCCACGGGTTCTTTGTTTTCGTACGGTTGAGCTTGAAACGCACACAGCCGTTTTCGATCGTAGATCGAGTTATATTTAAGCATATTTACATCGGGTCCGCGTGCTGCACGCAGAGACGCCGCGGCACAGGAGTCATAAAGCTTCTTCGAGGATTCTTGCCACAAAGGAGCGTTTTTTTATCTTTGAGAGAAGCGGGGAAGGTCTTGAATATCGAATGAAAAGACAGGCGACGATTCTGCGCTAGGAAGATTCGTGGAAAGAATTTTCGATCAAGATCGTAACGTCGCGTTTTCTTCGGGCTGGCGATCTCTGGTTCTTTCGTCTTTGCGCTCTTCTCCCGAGAAGTACGGTAGATTTTAAAATAAAGGATCTAGATCGATCTATCTTCTAAAAATATAAGCTGACCTGGTCAGACTTTTTTCCTCCGTGCCAATTCTCTGAGCCTCTCTCTTTCTCTGTTAGAAGATCATCGAAACTAATCGCAACATCTTAGATCAGCGGGAATCAATTTATAGACCCATTTATCCTGGCGGTTGTTCTATTGCGGAGTGCGCTACCAAAGGAATAATGGGTTTCCGAAGATGTGGGAATGAATTTCACAATTTAAAGAAATAAAAGGTTCGTGATGGTATTACGGTGTAAAGAAGAAAATGCAGATCAGCTTTTACGAAGATTCTATTTTTGTCTGTATCTCTGATTAGATGGCAAAATGTCGTATGCCCTATTTTTTACAAGATTGAGATATTTCATCCTTTATGGATGTCTAGATGAAACATTTATTTAACGTATAACATAGTTTGTGTGATGATTAATAAAGAAGTTGTTCTTTTATAATAAATAATGGTCTGTTACAGATTAATATAAATTACACTTTATCAACGAATAACTTAGTCCAATAAAAAATGTATGTCTGGTGTTTAGACTACTGTACATCAATTTTAGGTAATTCTCTGTTGGACGTTTTAATATAGTTATAAATTCTCACGCTTCAAGAACTTGGCGTTAATTTCGATGCAAGTAACTGTTTTATAAACGGAGCATGAGAATTCAGGTTGTTCTACTTGCAAACATATAATCCTACGAATATTCTCTACTAAAAATCAATAATAGAATATACAATATACAATCTAAAAAAATTCACAAATCTAGATCGAAAAACTAATAGAAATTAAAAGTAACATGCGTGACTAGTTACTCGCGCATTTATAATAACTTCCGTAAGATTAAAGAACACAATCGTACATTCAGAGATTCAAATGCACTGAATCTGTATCCATCCTGAACATTCACAGAACCAAAAGTATGCTGTCAACAAATGGCCAGAAGACAAAGAATTCCTATTGAGCGTAGGAGTTTTATGTCTCTCTGCAAAGTTCTCGGGAAACCATTTATTCATTTCACCGTTGGAATTTTTCAGACACTTCAACTGCTCGCTGTAAGAGAGGACTACCGAATCGCACGGAAACCACGAATCCTACGAGAGGAAATTAGCGATTTAAGTAGAATAAGTACAGAATGGGTGCGGCTGGCAGTAGTAGCGGTGCACCTCCTCCGGCGACGCCATTGGGATCGCAGAGCGGAGAAACATTTATCTACGGGACAGAGGAATCCTGCTGTCCGGAGTACACGAACGAAAATATACGACAAAGGACGAAGACCAGCGCGTTCGACGTGGGTGAAGAACCTCGATCGCAGGTTAAATTTAAAACGAATATATTTATTGGTCTTGAGAACGTCCCAAACTGCCAGCTAGAAGCCGGAGAACGTTTTACGCGGTGTATACGGGGTGTAAATAAACTATAGACGCGAACTTTAAAGCTCCATGATGTTTTATGGAGAAAAGGAAGTAGCCTTGAGAATTATTTGTGCGGAAACTAGGTGTTACAGGCTTATCGATAGTATTGATTTATGTCAGATTATTGAAACGATTACTTTAATCATTGTAGTTTCTATTTTCACTATAGGATTCTTTTTATGAGAAAGGTATATAGGTGCAATGTTTTTCGTTCTATTGGGAATGATGAAAGATGCTGTTCATTTAAGAAATTAAAGGATGAAGTAAGTTTAGAGTCAAACGATTGTAGCTTCTTTCATTTTTCGTGAAAATATTGATAATATTAATGGAGATTAAGGAACGAGTTTGTAGGCAGAAGAATTATTTGGAGACGGAGGCAAACTGTTTTTGATTACTTTTTCGCATTTAGTTTTCTTTTGGAATTATCACGGTTTGTTGAAAGGAGTATTTTTTTTCAAGGAGCTTTTCAAGAGGTAGGAAAATGTTTTTAGGGTCCCAGTCCTTACGCGACATTGAGGGGTGAAGAATGGTGGGATCAGAGACCATCGGCACCGAGTGTGTCGAACTTACGACCTCGTCGCCGCGAGACTCTGGTGAGTGTTTCTATATCCATAAAAGTGATAGAACAATTTTCAGGAACCGTGTCCTGGAATGATTTTAACACGATATTGCTATGTCTTTATTGTAACAGCATTTAAAACAGAAAGTCTATCTCTTGGATTGTATAAAAAAAGATTCACTAAACGTATCAATTTCGCACTTCGTACATTTATTAATGCGCATTTGAAGAGCGCCCAATATCTTTCTAAACGGAATTAAATTTAATCCGAAGTTACCTATAAATAATCAACTATAGTTGCCCAGAAATAAAAGAATAGTAGAAAATACTAATACGGAAAATGTTCAAAAATAAAAAACAATACAAATTAAAATAAAAGAAAATACAAAAAGAACAAAATGTTCTAAAAACAGAAAACGATAAAAATCGAACTAAAAGGGAATACCAAGATACAAAGGAATGGCAACATTTGAGTAAACAGTTTTCGATCTCAGCAAGCAGTGGCTCTCGTTTCTTGGCTATCTTAAATGTATTTTCGACGATCGGTAATATCCATCCAAAATCGTTTGGTATCTTAATGGAAGCACGAGCGCGTTTCCGTGTAGGGCGTCTAATTTTGAATCGGAATGATCGGAAGGATTATGAAAATATCGGAGGCTTTTGTTGGGATACGGTGGTCAACGCGCAGATGCCGGGGCGCGAAATTTTCCAAGCGAAACGTGTTCTTTTGTCCCGCGGCGGAAAAGCTGGCCGGATTCCAAATATCTCCTCCGACTGTTCGTGATTTCGGGAGAACACGCTGAGTCACGATCACGAAGAGGAGAGTTCGCAGGCACCCGATCGCGATCACGTGCCCCCGTGTCTTGAGTTCCTTCAGTGAACGCGGTACGCGTTGTGCCAGATCGTTCGCGTGAATCGCCCGACGTGGACCGAAACCACGGCTGATCGATCGTTGGATCGACGAAATACTTTGTTAGAGTTGCGTGGATGGATTCCAGTTCTTCGGTTCGTTTCGAGATCTTAATTAGTTCTGGAATTGAACGAACACTGCGAGGACTTCCGAAAATTTGGTGGAATTTAAAGGATTTTTCAGTGTAAGTGAGTTTCTGCTTGTTTCCCGTTAGTCGAGGTTAATGTTCGAGTATTCTTCTGTGATTTTTTCTTCAAAGCGGTTGGAGGAGATTTACTTTATTTCTATGGCGTTCAATGTTACATTTGGGTAATAGTAGAGCAAACTTTGAAGCTAGAATACATTTTTCATTTCATATATTTTAGGTACATTATAAACTGCATACATATTTCACGCGTATGCGATTGATACAAAAATAGAGAAACAAATAAAATAACAAAGAAACAAAATGGTAGGTCGAAATCAGCGATAATCAAATCTGCATTAATACTCGCATCCTAATTACATGAATGTACGGAGTTCCGAAAGATTTGATTACTAAAATATAATTCACTTGTATCATTCTCCAAAAGTGAATTGACAAATTTCCATTCGCAAAGTCACACGATTACTATCGCGCACCAACTGTCATTCGACTATATCTATTTACCCACTATTATTACACTACAAACATCGCCGTGCCGATTGGAGCGAAAGAAGTAGCATAGATCGTCGATCATCCGGTCAATTCGATCAGCATGTCTGAAATTGGTCCACTTATTTATATTACAGTTGACGTACGCGCAGATGACAGGTTGGCAGACGGCCGAGGGGCACGGCCCTTCGTTCTTGCAGCATCACCAAGAAGCCATGGAGCTTTCGAGAGTGATCTCGCAGCTCGCGGTGGCTAATCAGCAGTTGGCGTCTGCTCACACGACTACACTGTCCCATTTGGAAGAATTGTACAAGCAGTTGAGGAACGAACGGGAATCGAAGAGGCGAGAAGGCTCGCCGATCGCGTCGAACGAAGCTGCGAAGAAAAGACTGACGACGGACCACGTAGAAATCGATGACGAAGGGCGACAGAGGCTAGAGTTGAGGATCGACAGGCTGGAGAACCTGTTGAAGGACAATTGGAACGATTACCAGGATCGGCAGAGAAATCTTCAGCAGGAGGAAGACAGAAACCATCGATCTAGGATAGACAGGCTCGAGCTGACTCCGAAAGCTCCAGGACTCGAGGATGAAGATGGGCGAACAACAAGTGTTTGTTCATCGAAAAATCGGGACTTACAGATGGATCAACAGACGAACGACGACGGTGTCGTTCGAAATAGGGTTACAAATAGCATTGACGTACCTGAACACGAGTTAGCAAGTCAGTCAACGGTAGACGCGGTAGATGACAAGTATCAGACGAGGTCTGTTCATAGAATACGTAGCGATGAAGAGACGAGCGATTCGAGGTCCACCGACGAGACGGATCGCTCGACGGCGAACTTGCATTTAGAGAAGCCCGAGAGTGAAGGAACCAACGAGAAGGATGAAGAACGATCGGGACTCTGGAAGGTGAATAAACTGGTGGAGGAAATCGTGAGGTTAAAGGCTGAACGATTAGAGTATCGGTGTACCAGCGAAAGACTCGCGAGTGAGTTGGATGAGCAGAAGGAGCTTGTGAAGAAGTTGACGGAGAATTATGAGGTGCGTTTTGGAGCAGGATGAAGTGTCTTTGGAACGAAGATATTTTAAGAGTGTATTCTACTGTCGCAATCAGTGTAGTGATAGAAAAATTGCTGTCTGTTACATTAGAAATTGTGAAGATTCTAGGAAACCACTTGAAACGACTGTCTTCGGGAATGATCTTATTTAGGGAAAATATTTATTTGAGGAAAAGTGTGTTGCATTTACTATATTTAAAACCCATAGATGAAGGATTTATGGATTCTTGTTTACTTGATGTTTTTTTTAAATACTCTAATCAATGTATGTTCGTGAAATTTGATTCTTAATCGTATAGCATGTGCACATAATTCTCTGTTAAATTGTATTCTATACGAGAAGTAATGTGTTGATTAATGTTTATTAAAGTTATTATTTTACTTTTGATTAAAAAAGATCTGTAAACGCAAAGGCAGATTTAGGCGTAGGTATTAGATAGATGTAGCTAGGTATTTGATAGTTTACGTGATCGTACATTTTGTACAATGTGAAAAATTGTTCGCAGACATCGAAGACGCGATATGAGGAAATGGAGTCCAGCTTACGGGAACGCGGTGAAGAATACGAGAGGCTCATGGCGAAATTCGACTTCGCCACGAAAGAAACAGAGAGGTTGTTGAAGGAGATCGACACGTACAACGCAGAAAAAGACACTGCCGAAGCTAGGATCTCTAGCCTGGAGGAAGATTTACAGAAGTCGTTGATAGAGAAAGAGCAAATTAAAAGCATCGAGAGCCAGAAGACGTCGAAATTAAAGGCGCAGCTGTCCGAGGAGGTATCGGACAAAAAGAAGCAGATAAAAGCTCTCGAAGACGCTTTGGATGAGATTCAAAGACTGAAGGAGACTATCAAGACTGAGAAGAAGAGTGACGACGACGGCGCTTCAAAAGAAGATATAGGTATCGTTTATTTATACATGTGCCTTCCATGAGAATTTTTCTAAAATTCAATTTCGTTGATTGTAAGATCGACAAGTGAAAACTTAGAGGATCTGCATAAGATATTTATCATATAATTATTAAATTCGGTTTTAGAATTGTAAAATGTATAATACAATTACCAATATCTGTTTCATTATATTTTATAAAGTACATACTTCGTTTTTAATAAAACGATTAATTATGATATTTGTAAGCTTCATATACAAATAATTATTTACCAATTAGTATATGAAATGACTGTGGAATAAATTTATATTTTATATATAATGGACTGCGAAACTTAAGCAGGATAGGAAACTAGCCGGGACGATCATTTAATTTTGCAGACCCAATCGATTCGATAGACGATCCGCAAGAAAGTCCTCCAGCCGATCGCACGACAAATATTGAAGAATTCAAGAAAGAGTTGACTTTGAAGCGAGAAGCCAGGCAGCGAGCGATAGCAGCCGTTTCGTCGGAAATGGAGCGGCTCAGACGCGAATTGGACGCGGAGAAAGAAGCTCATTCCGAGACGTCAAGGGTTTTAGATCTCCTGAGGTCTGCACAGAACGATTCGCAGGGCCAGGTGCAAGCTAGAGAGGCTGACGGGAGCATCAGGAGATCTAGGTACAAAGATCCGAAGCCGGATGAACATGAATTGGCAATGAAACGCATGGAGGCTCAACGATTGACGAGTATATTGAAGGTAAAGTAGTATCAACAATTTTGAAAAAATACGTTTTAATACATGAAAATTTAACTGTTTCGTTTTATATCGTATTGGTATTTTTAACGACATGTGTAGACAATTTATTCTCTAAAAAGATTAGAATTAAGTTGAAACGGTTAAATATATTCGACTATGCTAAATGTGCTTTTAAAATAAAAAAGTTGATCGAAAAAGCATGATAATTCATCGTTGAATAATCAGTGATCTCACGAGAACTGATTCATGAAAATAATTTTAAAACTTTCCGCAAGAGCAGACATAGTTATTTTTGTAAAAATAAAATTTCGCATTCACCCGTGAAAAAAATACAATGATTCGATACTGGGTATACGTAATAGATAAAAATATATTCTCTTTCATCCGATCTTCGAAACGTTTCATAGAATGAAGCTTTCATTTTACTCAACTCCTATTTATTGGAATGTTTGTCACTTACACACTTTGCAGTCGATCAAATTTAGTAAACAAATTCGTTATTAATAATTAATTTATCAATAATATACTGAGTTTAATTAATTTACCTTAATTATCCCAAAACGAGGACGGTAAAATTAACGTAAATCGATTCGAGGTTATTATATATTCATTATACGCAGCTAACTCGAAGCTGAATCAATTATGCCCATATACATACAGTAAATTGATCAGCAATGAAATTTATAATTACTAAACAATTCATTACCAAATTTGCGTGAAATAGATCAAAGCGTTCCAGCTGTAATTACCTTCAACTATTACCAGCATTCTAATTATCCTTAAAATTTGCTTTCCAAACTCTAGGTCTCCGACGAGCTGCGGAACGACATTCGTTTCCAGATCGAGAAAGTGGACGACTTGCGTTATCACCTGGAAACTGATCCCGATCAGCATCGTTGCCGCATCCGTTTCTTGACAGACGTTACGAATAAGACACGAGAAGCTCTTCAATCCCGAGAAAGTCGTGCCAACGAGCTGAAAGACCATCTCGCGCAGATTCTGGTCCGATTAGGGGACAGAAGTTTCTTAGACCTGAAGGATGACGTTGGCCTGGAGTGCGAACGTCAGCTGGAGAACATCAATAGCCTGAAAACCCTCTACAACGAGAGGCTGAAAGTGCTGACCGAATTGAAAGACTCAGCGGTCAGGGAACTCACCGATGTCAAGGAGAGATTGGATCATACATTGAAGAAGTCCGAGTGCTTGGAAGAAGACTTGAAGAAGGCTGACGAAAAGGTATATTGAAGTTTAAGTTAATGAAACGAAGATTGCAGCTTGAAAACTGATTGCTCTTCGTGGCAGATCGATGCTCAAGACTCCGAGATATCGAACTTGGAGTCGCAGCTGGGACTCACCAAGGCAGATTGTAGGGATCTACAGAATCAGATGTCACTCATCAATGGGCTCTTCACGCAGATGCTTCTGGGTGCTTCCTCCGCCGACATGGACCTCGATCGATTGACTCAGTTACTTCAGGTATTATTCACACGATCAAGTTTCTGACGTTTAATTATATTTCTATACCTCAATGAACATTTGTAATGAACTGTGTAAAAATGGCAAGATCAAAGTATGATTTCTTGTGGATATCTTGTCTGAATTCGTCGAGTCAAATCTACAATAGATTATTGGTGTTTATGAAAATTCATCTTTCTTTGCTTTTCTTCGTTATCGTATAATTTTTACATATTTCTGCATAATTTTATACTACCGAGTTCCATTGTGTTAATCTACATTTTGGCACGCGTTTTCATGGGAAGAGCATGAATACAGTTTTTAAGCAAGTAGATCATATTTAATTGATGGATAATCAATTTGAAACAAATTTCTTTGGTTCAGGAGAATCATGATTTAATAAGTAATATAGCAAGAGAGGAGGGCACCGAGGCAGCAGCGCTTCCAAAGCTGCTTTTGGACCTGGTGGAACAAGTCGAGGGCAGCAAAGGCTCCCAAAAGCGCAGTGACGGGGAGAATGGAGCCGAAAATGAGATAGAAAAGAAAGACGACGATCTACAACAGGAAGAAATAGCACACAATCTGCCTAAGGTATTATTTGTTAAATTAAATACCATCTAGCGTGTATAAATGAAGTAAGAGCTTTGAAAATTCAACATATCGTTCCTTAGGTCTGGCGTGTTTTACTGGAACTACTAAGTTGTCACGCTGAAGGAGCTCAAACCGCATCAGCGGCAACATCTTCGGACCCTAACAGTTGTTACAAGTCCGTGGATACTCCAGCTGGACCTACATTAGTGATATCAGTCAGCAAGACGTACATTCGTCTAAAGGAATTGATACTAGAGAAGAAACACTTGGAGAAGGAAATGAACAGGATGAAGCAGCTGAATTCTCATTTGGAATGTAAACTTGGAGAACAGGTAGGGAAAAAATGAAATCATTGTACTAAAAGATAAATGGATTGCTCGTTATTCACTCTAAATTACATAAATTAATATTGTTCTTCGATTATACGAGTACTCATGTAAGCTAGATATAGAAAGAGAATTTGAAGTCAGTTTTATATCTTTGTAAGAAAAGTAATTTTTATGATTGACGCTAATGGTGATCTTTACTCAGGAAAAGAGGTTGTCAGCAGTATCAGCGGAGCTTAGTAAAACTTGGACCATTGTTGACCGAATGCAGGCTCAGCACCAGCAGCTGCACACCCACGAGAAGATTTTACGATACGAGTTGCAACAAAAGCGGAAAATGCTGCAGGAGTTGAAGCAAGAGTTAGAGTACTGCCGCGAGAAATGGGAGTCTGCCAGACAGAAGAACACCAACACGGAGTTAGAGTGGAGGAGTTTGCGACGAGAGTTCGCTGCGAGGAAAGCTATGGCTGTTCATGATTCGTTTAGTAACAGGTGAGTCAGTTTCGACAATTAATCGTTTGTAATTCTCAGATTTCTAAATACAAAGGAAAAGTTAGTTTAAATATACAGAAATTCGTAGAAGTTTCGGAGATCAGTTTTCCTGACAACGCAAGGTGAAAATCAGGAATTTGTAGTTAACGATAACTTGAAAACGTAGTCAGAAACGTCATGAAAGTTACCTATCAATTTTCTTCTTCCTTTGTGTTTAATATATTCATCTTTCACAAAAATTTAAAACTTTTGCAACATATGCAGCGCTGAGAGTGGATTCAGCGACGAACGAGGAGACGATACCGACGAGGAAGAGGACAACGCAGTTGAAGAAAGAATTAGGCTGGGCTCTCGCAGGAGACCGCGAAAGGTGCATCATCATTTCTATCTTTCATCTGAATTATTAAAAAATTATTGGAAACATTTTAATACGTGAAACAATGAATTAATATTCTGAAATTATAGGAGAGTCCTCGAGCACCATCGCCAGACACAGAATCAGAGCAGCCAACCGACACGGAACTCTCAGAACCAAAAACAAGTTCTTCAACGACTCTGGGTCAACGAACGCCCAGTCCGGAAACGGAAGCTGAACTGGACGAGACCGAAGCAACAGAAATAACTTTGAATACTGAATCTGAAGATGTAAGAGAAGTATCAATAACTACTAAGCTTAAATAAACATTCAATTTCATAATGAAACCGAAGATCTTCATGAAATTATACCAAATATATAATAAAACATAAAATAAATAACTCAATATTGTTTTAACAATAATATTAATATCTTTTTATTTATTTTTATAATTATATTAATATTATTATAATATAATTTATTGTTTTTATCCCCAGCAGCTGATATCAGATGGCTCACAAGAATCCCTGGATCCCCTAGACCAAGCTCTATCAAACGTCATTCAGAATCTCATCGTCATGAACGATCCAAACGCAACACCACCAGACTACGAAAATCCAATCGAAGAAGCGATTATCACCGAAATCATCGCAAACAGTGAATCCTCGTTATCTTTGCCTACCACAGACCCAAACATCGAACCTTGTACTCCAACACAGAATCCAGAATCACCAGAAATTACCAACGAAGAATGTCCTGTCGTGGAAGTTTCCCACCACGAAGAGCTACCGATCATCACGGAAGATCCCCAGAAGGCAGCAGAAGCGGACGGTGAGAAAGCAAAGAACGAAGAATCACCCTTGACCTCGTCTGTGTCTCACGTACCCATCGTAACTAGCCCAGCCAGCACGCAGCATGTTTTCATTATCGGACCCCTCCCCCCGTCAACACCATCGATCGTGAAAAATGTCCAGTTCAGCGATCCCCTGATCATGGGCCCGTCTAATTCATTTTTTGCTCCAGTCTTCGGCACACCATTGTCAGACACGGACGATCATTTCGACGGCGTATCCTTTTCATCCTCGTTCGACTCGTCTGCGTCGATTTCGCCCTCGTGTCAGGACAACGAGTCCAAGAGCCCGGAGAAACGCGCTGGCAAGTCGGTAGACAACGTCATCGACTCGGACAGCGTTTCGGTGGACTCGTCATCGAGCTTGGAAACGGTTAAAGAATTTCCTGCAGCGGAACCGCTGGCTGAAGCTGAGAAAAAAGAGAATGCGGAAACGAAGAAAGAGGAGACTAAGGCCACCCCGAAAACTAGGACTCCTGAGGAAGCTTTAGCTGCTAGGGAAGATAGATTGAAGAGACTGGAGGAGCAAGCTAAGTGGTTGATGAATAAGATGAATGCTACTAGCAGGAGAGGATCCGCGTTGAGCACCAGGCTGGAAGAGCTTCACGAAGCTTACGGCGAACCACCTGCACCTCCGCCGATGCCAGATGTCCTGCCTAGTAGAAGGTTGAGGACGAACTTAGCGGATTTGCGACCACAGGTGAGATTGAATTAATTGGTTGTCGATGGAGTTTGACGGGGATGTAGTAGGTGTAATGTTATGAAGAATACTTGATGAAATCTTTAATGATCTGAATGGTAGACAAATTGTGGACTATACGCAATTATGGGATTTATAAGTGGGTCAGATGCAACAAAATGCAAAGTGAGGAGGATTGGGATATGTTCAAGTTACGTGTGACTAGATAACATTTTTAATTAACGTTGTGAGTTGTTTATTTCAATTACCGAAGAAGAGAATAAATTGGATTCAATCTGTGCGGCACGGAGAACTGAAAACAAAGAAGTTGCTTTTGTCTTGAAAAGAACGTAACTGATAAATTAAGTATTATCATTAGCCTTCAAGATTCATATCTCGTGTATCTCGTCTTTAATTTTTTATTGATATTATCAATCTTTTCTTTATCCTGTTATTTATAGAATTCTTAATTTACTTCAAAATAATATAAATGTGTAGATTATCCAAATAATCTTAAATCCAATTTTGTGTTCAAAGAGCAGGTAACCCGATCTTATCAATACCATGTTGCATTACTCATTGGTACAGAAACTTAAAATATAACAGTTACGTCATTGAATTCTACAATAAAGATTTGATTTACTGACTTCTGAAGACCGGTGAGGCGTCCCTACGAATAACAAATTGTTGACTGTTTCGTTTTTCAGGCATCTGAATCATCTGCCACAGAAGACACGGAAAATACTAGGAAACCCGTCTCGAGCGAAATTTCCAACGAATCATCGTCGGATAAGGCGCCTTAAGACGCCCACCATATTTATTGTACGAAGAAACATTGCTCGACGTTTATTTTCGTCATAGACGGAAGCACGTGTACGTATCGGACTCTGAAAATGCGTTGGCTCTCATTGTAAACAAGCTTTACGTAATTGCAATGGATCGAAATGTTTTGGCTTCGGCGCAACAATAAAATTAAGGCTCAGACAAGAACAAACCGAATGCTATAAATAGTGTTTACCAACTTGATTGTGCCTTCTTACACGATTTTTCGAATCTACGAACCATTTTAACTCATGATATATTAAATAAAGGAAAAGACTTTGAAACATATCATCGATTCAAAGCGGTCGACGTTCTTACTTAAGTATTTTTATTATCGATGTGCCATCGTTGATATCGGTATAAGTAATCTCTTGTCGTTCCTAACTGCGGAAGTAAATGTGATCACTCATGAATCCGTTCCTGTTTTGTACCTTCTACAATTGTACCTACTAATTTCTCTACGCACATAAAGAATCAATAAACATCACTGTGGTTTTATTAAGCAACTAATCCCATAATAATAACCATAAATTGAACTGGAAAAAAAATTGTAAATCGTTTTCTGAAAATCTATCTTAAATGGCGATTCAATGTTTTCGTTACACAAATCTGTGGAGATAATACTGCAGTTCACGATTGCATTGCAATTCGGCTAATTGCTTTTCAAATAAAATATCAAACTAATTATTGTACAAAGTGTTTACAGACTTTCTTACCAGTAAACTATTTCTAACGGAAATAGGGATTGAAAAATAAATTCCGACGAGTTTCTCATTGATGGGATCGATATGATTTATTTTAAAATAATTAACAATCTTCAGGATGTAAAACTTTCTCGTCATGCACCTCCCGTCCGCGCAATCGAACGCTCGATGAGTTTTCTATAACTATATGTATACGATAGATATGTATAATATTCACAAGACGTCGCTATCGTAGATTAATAAAATTCGTACAAAATCGTGTATGTAACAAAAACAGCTTTAGGTACGCTAAGTTCTCACATATGCATTCCTCGCGAAAGGCGCGAATAATTAAAAAATGAAATGAAAGAAATTAGAGATTCTTCCGTTTAGTCGACATCGAGTGCGTCGAGCAACAATTGTTCGCAATTATCTTACGTTTCTTTACAACGGTGAAAGACACTCGATCTACAAATACACTTTCAATACACTCACACACACGCACGCACGCACGCACATCGACTCAAACACAAGTACCCACTCGAAATGATTGTCTACCATTACCATGCACGCTGTTCCGTAACTGCTAATGATCTATTAAAATAAGATTTATCTACAGACTTTATATCCTAGTATTGGCCATCTACATTACCTTTTTGATCGGTTAATCTCATTCATTGTGGTTCTTATCATTAAAAAGAAGAAACACGGCTTCACTCGCCCGTATCACAATGCACACGCGGTACACCATTCGTCGCTACGCTAACAGAAGTGGCAAACATACGATGACACGAGAAGTACATACATAACTACGTTGGCACGCTTGAAAAGGACTGGTTGTACAAAAATACGGTACAAAGGTCTATCTACATGTAAAATCGTCTTACAAAAATATTTCGGAATCTTCAATTTAAAAACATATTACATTCTCCTTCTCCTTTTTGCTCGTCGCGACAATAAACATTTCCAAATTTAACGCGCGAATTTAGACGCTTCGAAATTTCGACATTAAAACT